ACACTTGGAAGTGGAGGGGTATATTACAATAACACCTGGAAGTGGAGGGGTATATTACAATAACACTTGGAAGTGGAGGGGTATATTACAATAACACCTGGAAGTGGAGGGGTATATTACAATAACACCTGGAAGTGGAGGGGTATATTACAATAACACCTGGAAGTGGAGGGGTATATTACAATAACACCTGGAAGTGGGAGGGGGGATATATTAGACAGCAAGTGAACATATTGTCCCTGAAGTTGATGTGTTGGAAGCAGAAACAATGGACAAGTGTGAGGATTTGAGTGACTTTGACGAGGACCAAATTGTGATGTCTAGACGACTAGGCCAGAGCAACTCCAACACTGCAGCTCTTGTGGGATGTTCCCGGTCTGGAGTGGTCCGAGGAAGGAAAACCGGTGAACTGGCGACAGGGTCGGGGGTGGCCAAGGCTCTTTGATAGACATGCTGGGCTGGGCCGTGTAGTCTGATCCAATTGAAGAGATACTGGAGATCAAATTGCTGAAAACGTTTATATTGGTTCTGATAGAAGGTGTCTGAACACGCAGAGCATCGCATGTTTGTTGTGTATGAGGCTGTGTAGCTGCAGACCGGTCAGGATGCCCATGCAGAACCCAGTCCACCTCCAAAAGCACCTACAATGGGCACTTGAGCATCAGAACTGGAGCACGGGGCAATGGAAGAAGGTGGCCTGGTCTGATGAATCATGTGGATGGTCGGGTGTGTGTGTGTCACTTACCTGGGGAAGAGATGGCACCAGGATGCATTATGGGAAGAAGGCAAGCCGGCGGAGGCAGTGTGATGCTTTGGGCAATGTTCTGCTGGGAAACCTTGGGTCCTGCCATTCATGTGGATGTTACTTTGACACGTACCACCGACCTAAACATTGTTGCTGACCAAGTACTCTCCTTAATGGAAACGTATATTCCCTGATTGCAGTGGCCTCTTTCAGCAGGTTAATGCGCCCTGCCACACCGCACGAATGGTTTGAGGAACACAACAACGAGTCTGAGGTGTTGACTTGGCCTCCTAATTCTCCAGAACTTAATCCAATCGATCATCTGTAGGATGTGCTGGAACAACCAATCTGATCCATGGAGGCCGATCACTTCACAACTTAAAGCATCTGCTAGTGACGGCTTGGTGTCAGATACCACAGCACACCTTCAGAGGTCTAGTGGAGTCCATGCCTGGACGAGTCCTGGCATGGATTCAACTAGACCTACTCAATTTAAGGCGGGCGGTCAGAATGTATCGGTGTGTTTAAAGATCGTCATGCATCATCATAATCCTTTATATCTGACCAGCAGAAACTGATCTGAAATTACCAACCCCTCCCCCCCCCCTCGGTATCTTGCAGTGTGTCTGAGCTACAGGAAAGGCCGAGGATGATGATTTCAGTATTGCAGGAATATTTAGGCCCCATTCACACTGCGCGATTTGTAAATCGCGCGATATCGTGCAAATGCTTGCATTTGAAAGCATTGAATCGCGGCAAAATCCGCTCCAAAAAGGGTCCTGCTGTAGCGACACACGACCCGCGACAGCAGGACCCTTTGCCCCATTGAGATGTATTGAAGATCGATATCGCGGGAATTACCGCGCGATAAATCGCTCAATGTGAACGGGACCTGAGCGATTTATCGAGCGATTTTTGCAGCGATATCGCTCATATTTCCACGCGATATCGCTCTATGTAGCTTCTCCAATCCATTTCAATGGAGCTCTTCACATCTCGTCGCTCAATTTCGCTCAATATCGCTTGTAGATCGTCGCTGGTAGCTTGTCGCTCCTACATGACCCTTTTTTCGAGCGATTTCGAGCGATATTGCTCCTGATTGCATACAGCCCAATAGGAAAAAGTCGCGCGACAAGTCGCTCAATATCGCTCGTCGCGCAATATCGCTCAAAATCGCGCGATTTTCATGTTGCTCAGTGTGAATGGGGCCTTACTGTCTTCCTGTCCTGTTTGTAAATTGGAAAGTTCATTCACGATGGAAACCTCGTCACCGACACAAAGGCTGGGTTCACACCTAGGCGAATCGAATATGCGCGTTTTGTAACGCGCGTTTTTACCGCGCTTCACGGTAAAAAAAATGCGCGACAATTGCGCGTTTCCGAGGGCTGCTTGGCTGTTTTGCAATGGAAACGAGCAACAAAAACGCCCCAAAGAAGCTCTTGTACTTCTTTGGGCGTAGGGCGTTTTGTAGCGCGTTCATACGGCCTGTAATACGCCCAGGTGTGAACCATGTCCATAGGAAATAATAGGATTTCGGTGTTTGAGCGCTTTGCAGAGCGTAGGAACGCGCTACAAAACGCCCAGGTGTGAACCAGGCCAAAGTCTTTATTCAGAAACGTTGTTCCAGTTATCTTGAATAATGATTCTTCTCTGATTCCCGGCCTTGCGGCTTGTACACACAGCGAGTGGAAACGATATTATGTAACAACATCCCGAGCTCCTCTGGGCAATCACTTCTGTTTATATTGTTCTGTCACATTTTAGTGTCGTGTTTGACAGCAATGTTAAACAGCCTCGAATGCTCCCATCTGAGCTGTCAAAACTCTAATACGTGTGAATGTTCTAATGTTGTTTACAACAAAGGGTGCTGATAGCAAACAATGAAGACAATGTTACCAAACTTGGAATTGTGATTAGTAAAGATGAACTCCCGGCCTTCCCTTCAGTCTTGCACAGTGGTACCGGCTCCTCTTCTGGATTGCAGCTTACCAGTTCTCAGATGTAGTGGCTGCATTAGTCTTCTTTTCCCGGTGATCCTGCTTGTAACACACTTCCTGTCTGAGGGCGACAACGCTCACTCGCCACACTGTATCTTTGGAGGAGCAGTGCTGTCACCCTAGGACAGAAAGTTAGTAACTACAGAACTCAACCCCCTCTCCGTCCCTAGAATTTAGGAGGGGGGCAGCTTACAGACTTGCAAAAGCAGAGACACAGAGACTCCAGAGTGATCCGCAAACGTCTATTTATTGACGTACAGCACACCAGGTATTGCAATACCTGGTATGCTGTACGTCAATAAATAGTGTCTCTGCTTTTGCTTAGACCTGGTTCACACCTGGGCGTTTTACAGCGCGTTCCTACGCGCTGTAAAACGCTCAACATGTGAAAACCAATAATTGCCTATAGGCATGGTTCCCACCTGGGCGCCCAAAGAAGTACAGGAGCTTCTTTGGGGCGTATTTTCCGCGCCTATCCATTGGGATACAGCCGGATAGCCCTCGTAAACGCGCGTTTCTTTTACCGCAAATCGCGGTAAAAAACACGCAGCAAACGCGCTCATTCCGTACGCCCAGGTGTGAACCCAGCCTTATGCTTATGACTGCAGTCACCCGTCGACTACCGTAGCACCCGCTTCTTAAAAGGGATCCTGCGGTCACGAGTGCGATGGGACCATGGACTTTCAGCTTACAGACTTGATCACATGAGTTTAACCCTTTCGCTGCCAAGCCCTCCAGAACTTTTTGCACCTCACCTGGCCACACCATGTTTGCTATTTTTTTCCCATTGATTTTAATTTTCCACTGCTGGAAAACCCCAAACCATATATTTTCTGAAAGCACGGGCCAGGTAGTATAAATAGATGGTGCTGCTAAATTTGTAGGCCCTGCGATAATTGCACCCGGAATTTTTGTTAATAGCAGTCATCAGCTATTAACTTAAAGGGGACCGTCCGATGATGATAGGGGACCTTCAGGGGGATAGTTCTGGTATAAGCTCATGGCCGCTAAAGCGACCATGAGCTTATAGCAGAACGGTAAATGCCACCGACGTAAGGCATACTGACCTGCCTTTTTGGGAACAGTTTTTTGTTCCGCTGTATGCCTTACGTCGGTGGCAGGGAAAGGGTTAAATGACTAAGTCCAAAAAATGTCACCAGCACACCATCAAAACATAAAGCAATACGGTTTTAATGACACATGAATGTCATTCAAATACAAACGTTTTCGGGGCCTCCCAGGGTCCCCTTCCTCAGGCTCAGAATGGGTTAAATGACTGGCGCATACCTGACTGGCACATACCAGAGGTCCGTGATATGTCAATGAAGATGAACCATATTTCTCTGCGGCGATGCAATTGTGTCATAGATATAATTATGCCGGGGGTATGTCACAGGTGTAATGGTATAGAGTGTAATTATATAGCTACGGGTGCATTAGTTAAGGAACAAAATAATCGGCCTTAATTACCACCTACTGCTAATGACTATTGGCGGGGTGGTGTTGTGTTTTGCTCCATACCGCTCCAGTAACACACGTGTGAATGAGGTAATTACTGTTTCATTATTTAATTGTAGCTTTTACCCAGCAGCAGATAAAATGAGATTCTTTCCTGGCGCTCCTTGTGATGTATAATAAAGGAAACTTTGAGTCTGATTACAATTCATGAAACCTTTGCTAGCTCTAAATACGGCATTTTATCACTTTTAATGCTTTTCCTTGCAATGGGAGGGCTGCAGATATGTAAAACCAGGACCCACCCTCTGTGGCCACTTTGTTAGGTAATAACATTATGCTTTGGGGCTGTTTCTCTGGCCGACTTTGCCGCATTGAGGGGCCAATGGACGGGGCCATGTATTGTAAAATCTTGGATGAGAACCTCCTTCCCTCAGATTGTGATAAGGCACAGTGGCTCTGCTTGAGGCTGCCCTCAACAAAAACAAGGTGTCCCTCAAACAGGAGACCCTGATTTGAAGATTAAGATGTACAAAGTCCAATGAGAGCAATAAGCATCACAGTCCAAAATCTTTTAATATTGGTTCTCAAAAAAGGAAGTCTAGAATAGCCAATGCATTTTGGGAGCTCAAATCGCCAGGCATTGTTTTTCTGTATAAAGATTAAATGTAATAAGGACCAGCAGATCAATAAATCAACATAACTTTAAAATTCTGAGACTGCCCCGATGTTGGCTGCTGTTTGCATACAATAGAGCTCTCCGCATCCTGCCAGCAGAGCAGGCAGCAGAAATCAAATGTTATAGCTCAAGTACAGAGAAGAACCTGTGAAGAAAAACAAACCAGGAGAGCAGAAAACCTCTTAGTTCCTCCTCAGTAATCTGCATTTGGTTGTAGCCAAAGGTTATTTTCCAGCATGAAGCATGTGTATCCCATTACAGTATAATTCTCCTGCGACACATCTCAGCCCTGGAAGAGGACAAGAATTGGCAGCTTCATAGGACTCGGCACAACTGTAAATGTCCCTTTGCATGAAGAGGACGGGGAAAACGGCTCTTAAAAAAAAAAGAATCCTTCATTGTTGTTTCCATTCAGACTTTGCAGAAAGAAAAATAACTGCCAGCTCAGACCTGTGATTGTGATTTCATTCCGGCCGCTCAGTCTCAAGTAGTAATCGATGGTGACCTATCCGTACAAATACATGAATTCAGGGATCAGAACCTAGAACGGCAATTACAGAACGCCAACAGGCTCTGATTGCTCACATATTTGCTGCCACTAAGTAGACCATCGCAAGGTCCTGGAAATCTTCAGTCCTTCGCTTTCAGGAAGTGAAGAATAGAATTACGGGAAACCATGATTAGCAAAAAATGATCTGTGGTCTTAGCTGATGCTCATGATAAATCTTTGAGGGTTTGGAGACCCTGAATCTCATACGCAAGGCTGCTCTATTTTGTTGAGGCGTTGGTGACCTCCTAATTCCCATAATTCCAGTCTTTAGTTCATCATCAGCTTTGACCAATTTATTTTCTTATCTTTGCTTTTTGTTCCTTTTACGTACTTCCATTTCCCTTTTCTTTACTCTTCTTTCTTTTTCTAGGCTTTCT